CCCCACCGATGCATTGAACTTCTACAGAGTGTTAGGCACCGTTCATGGTGCCAGTGGTACATTTTTGAGCAAGGCAAAAACAGCCTCTGTTACCTGGGCATTTATGACCTAGGTGCGCTTTTTATAATTTAGTCATTCAAACCTAAATCATTTGGCAAGCTTCTACAGTGTATCAGGCACTGTTCAGGGGGCCGGTGGTACATTTTCGAGCAAGGCAAAGACAGCCTCTGTTATCTGGGCGTTTATGATCTAGGTGCACTTTTTAGAATTTAGTCATTCAAACCTAAACAAGATTGGGGGAATTTATAGTTGAATTGCTTGTTAGGAAGATATACTCCCTATCTTTGAAATCCACCAATGGACTATTTTCTTATCTACAGGATTCTACTTCAGGAAAAGAGAAATTGTCTACTTTTGCAGCTGGAAGAAGCTACTCGTTTAGCATCCTATCTCCAGTCCCAGTTAAAAAGGTAGGCAACTTTAAAAAAGAAAGCCGTGCTTATCATGTGATAATGACATGTCTCTGAACTTCACAATTCCCTCTGGCTTGGTTTTCTCCACCAGAATTTAGAACTTGAAGGGGTGTAAACACAGAATGCAAAAGTGGGTACATCACGTTGTTAAGAGGAGCTGCTAATATATGATAAAGGAATACGACGAGAACCAAATTTGGCTGCAGAATAACAAGTCTGAGGTCAAATTTACCCAAGGATTTCGTAATTCACAACTTCAGAAGTGTGTATGTATATCCATCTACGTATATGCACGTGGACATTTTTATTATTTTTTTTCAAGGACATGGATTGGTTTTCTCCACCAGAATTTAGAACTTGAAGGGGCGTAAACACAGAATGCAAAAGTGGGTACATCATGTTTTTAAGAGGAGCCGCTAATATATGATAAAAGCTGCAGAATAACAAGTCCAAAGTCAAATTTACCCAAAGATTTCATAATTCACAGCTTCAGAAGTGTGTATATCCATGTACATATATGCACATGGACATTTTTATTTGGGGTTTTTTAAAAAGGATATGGAAATTTTAAAAATGAGATTCGGATGCTCAATAATTGTTCCTGTTTTCCAGTATTTATGGAAGCATAATGATAAGGGCTTTCTATGTATGATTTTTCTCAGTTATTCCTCCTAAGAGTGCCAGGAGGCCAGAACTCTTCTTGCTTGTCACAACCCCCAGTGAGAGAGGCTCAGAAAGGGCAAATAATTTGACCACGTGGACTCAGCTAGTCCGCATTTGAGCTGGACCTCGAACTCAGGCATGACTCCTTGATGTTAACCACTGCCCCCTACCTATATTCAAAGAGACAAAGGGAATGTCATTGCAGGTGTCTTACGATGCTCGCAGGTATTTAAACACGTGCTCTGGTTAATGGGAGAATGAGGCAGGATTCTGTTCCTTCATGGAACAGACTAGCCGCTCAGCTTTGCAGTGAACGGCGGGGCTCCAGCACGCATCTTCAGGCTGCTTTCCTAAGGGCGTGGGGGCTCTCTCGTTTCAGCCTGTCTGCCAGCACCCTGACGGTATCCTCGGGGAGCAGCCGCGGGTCCCTAGCCTCCAGCCGGGGCTCGCTCACCTCCAGCCGGGGTTCCTTGAGCTCTGTCAGCTTCACTGACATCTATGGCCTGCCACAGTATGACAAACCTGACATCGAGTGCAGCCAGCTTCTGCGCTTTGATCTGATTCCCTTCGACTCGCTGGCGCGAGATGTCCCCTTCTCAGAGCCCCCAGTCCCCTCGGGCTTCCACAAGCAGAGGCGCTCCCTGGATACACCCCAGTCCCTGGCATCCCTGTCCTCCCGCTCCTCCCTGTCCTCCCTGTCTCCTCCAAGCTCACCCTTGGACACACCCTTCCTCCCTCCCTCGCGTGAGTCGCCCTTGGCCCCACTGGGGGACAGTTTGGAGGTGCCAGGCCTGGGCACCTTAGACAGATTGCGGGCCCAGGCCTCCGCTCTGGGTGATGAAGACTTGCCGGGCACGGTGTCCTTTCAACCGCACGCATTTCCTGGAGATGGGGAAGGACCTCGTGAAAGAGGAACCCAAGTGGCTACCGTTCCCATGGGCACAGGTAAGCACTGACAAGTCCTGGGGGTTTTCTCAGTCCTGGGAGGAAAGGCTTCACGTTCAGGGAAGAAATTGTGTGTAATCGCACTGAAGCCAGCTGGCTTTTCACTACATAGTGAACTTTGAATTAGGATTATTGCTAGGGAGAGGAAGAATGCAGGCCTGCTGTCGTGTGGGTGCTTCTGGTTTATGTCCTAGAAAGGTCCTTGACATTGGCAAAGTAGTCTTTCCCAGGTGTTTGGCTCGTTTTCAGGATGTGCTTAATTGTTGAAAATGAGAGGAAGAAGCACATAGTTTTCCATGTTAACAGAGGCTGATGGAGAGGTGCTAGGGCCTCAGTGAACTCCCCAGAACTCCCCACATGGGTCATTCCGTGTGTGCCGCCTCTGACTGGTACATGGACCAGCGTCTGGTTGTAGCTCAGTGATTCATCTCTACTTCCTTTTTCCCTATGATTTCATCTCTTTATCCTTTGTCCTTGTAGTTTTCAAGGACATAATTTTATCAGAAGTGTACATGAAAATAATTGGCATAATTTCAAAAGACTTGCCGGTGAGCGTCAGCCATTGCTACCAGATCAGTTTCTCTTGGTGGTTTTCAAATAGAGAAACATGTGGCCATGGGGAACTTCATCCATCCAGTTGGTGCTAATTCAGCTTCTACTTGGGGCCAGAGTCTCTCAGCTTGTAGCCCACATGGAAAACCAAACCGCTGTTCTGGAGAACCTTCCAGCTGATGGCTTGTGCACAAAGCAGGGCCTGGGCTCCAACCCTCCTCATCTTGACCCCGTCTGCTTTTTTGAGGCAGCCTCCAGGAGCTCCAACTTTCTCAGGCTCGAAAGAGGATTGAGAAGAAGGCCTCTCATTCCAGAAGTTCCACCCATTTAGTTAACTTTCACTTACACAGCAAAAGTGCTTTAGACATTGCATTAGGGGAGCACTAGATAATTTGTATAGCGTAGTGGATCTCAGCCAGGGGCGTTTTGCCCCTGGGAGGTACTTGGCAGTGTCTGGAGACGTTTCTGGTGGTCATAACTCAAGGGGCTGGTGGGGAGGTGCTTTTGGCATTCAGTGGGTGGTGACCACAGGTGCTGTTCAACGTCCTACAGTGCACAGGACAGCCCCCACCAGAAGGAATGATCCAGCCGAAACATCAGTAGTGCTGAAGCTGAGTATCCTGGGCGCATACTGTTGAGTAGTTTAGCAGCAAAGGGTAGAAATAAAATGCAACTCCAAAATCAGTGTGGTAGTGGAAACAGCTTCAGAATAGCAGCTTAGAGACACAGATTCTGTTCTCTGCCCCGTTAACTCACTAGTTGGGTGTCCTTGAGCACACATCTTTGGACGTGGCTGAGTCTTAGCTTCCCTGCCCTTGAACGAGGTGATCTTTATGGGCTCTTCCATTCACCACCATTCTGTTACTCATGAGTTTTTCATAGACAACAACTATTATACAAATATACTAGTTCCTGTGAACACTCGCATGTTTAACCAGAGATCTGGCATGTTCTGAGGCAGCCCTGGGGCTTTTTGTCATCTCTGTCATTTTGGTGTCTTACCCTCTGTGTTTGCAAACACACCTTTAATATCCCTAGGTGTAGTGTTTCTATAATTCACATATACAGGTGACCTCCGTTCGCTTTGTTCTTCTTTATAATGGCAGGTTCAGAGCTCCATGTTTACTCCTTTCATAAAAAAAAGGAAATACAAAATAAGGACTGAATTGCGCATCTGTTGTCGCTTAAGCTTACTTTGTCAGTGCCCCGACTCCCCCACGCCAACGTCTTTTTAAAGGCTGAGGTACAAGAGTATCGGTCTCGTTATGTAGAAAATCCACACAGGGCTCAAGGGCCCTTTTGGGCCAGCGGAAAGATAGTGTGAGAAGGAGAAGAGTTGATGTAATTTCCGGTCCTTATTTTTTAATTTTTCCTTCCCACTTTGTGGCTGACATTATAATGCTTCAAACTTCTTAGACCGGGAGGTATTCGCTTCTGCTATGGTCAGATACTGTCACCTGGTGGTACGTTCATATATGACACTATCAATTGACTTGGGTCCTTACAAACTACAAATAATTAATTGGCTCAGTGAATGGGTCCCGGTGGGTGAATGCAGAGGGCTGCTTTGGGTAACCAGCTTCAGGCACAGACACAGGGTGACTTCTCGATTTCCCTTGATGCTTATGGGAATACCCGAGCCAGAGTCATGGTGGCTTCGTGAAGTTGGCGACGATTCTTAGCACTCATTATGTTACCCCACCCTTCATTTATGATGCCCAAGGTCACTAAGTTCCCTTTGGCTTTCCATTCCAGTGTGGCTTGGAACAGTACAGTCTAAGTGTAACCTCAGGCAAGTTCTAGTTAGATAAAATTTTTGTAAGATAAAACTCAAAATCGTCGAAACCTACAGGGCAAGCCCTAAGAAGTATTTTTTTTTTTCTGTTCTGTTTTAAATCAATCTGAGGGGACACAAGATGATATAGGAGAGTTGGGCAATAGACTGTAATCTTTAACATTTTTTACATTTTTTGCTATAGTTTTATCTTCCCTGTATTTTAAAAGTAAAATCTGCCATCATTTTAAAATCCTTTCCAATCTTAATTTCCATTGGTATTTGCTAATCTAAATCCATGAAGATCTTGACTTTGCTCATGTAATCATGGACATTTTGATTATATTCATACTCTGTTTAAACTCGTTGGCTTAAATTCTGCAGTTTTTTCACTTTGTGCTTTTTTTTTTTTCTTTATCTCTTCTCCTGCGGGCTCGATAGAAACACTCGCTGTAAGTGACCTTGGCATTCTCCTTCACCTCGTTGGTCGGGCCGTGGCACATCTTTGTGCAGTGGATTTAGGATGGTCATAGTGTGGCCAAGAAGGGCAGTCTCATAGCTGTACTTCAATGTAGCTCAACAATTAACCATTATTAGGATCATTTCAACATGAATATTCATCATGCCTACTGAAGTTGTGTAAGAACTTATCTAAAAGCTTGAAGTATTTATTCTTCTATATATCTATTCCCCAGACTTTTAATGGCTTTCGTTATTTAAAAATGCCAGCCGGCAGCTTTGTCTCCAGTGTGATTTTCATTATACTTTGTTCCTTTTTGTCAAGCAGTGTCGACGTCCTTAGGTTTCTGTCTCGTCTGTATTTAAAGATGAAATAAGTTCAGAGATTTTAAAAAGGAACGATTGGAAGGTTGTTATTCCTGACTTCACCGGCATTGCTCTCCACGGTCCGTCTCTTTGCCTTGAAGCCTGAGAGCAGACGGCTGCGGGGTGGAGCGTGGGGTCTGCTGCGTGTTTTCTTCTCATCCGGGGCAAGTGCTGACCGTAGTTCCTTCTGTCACCTGTGCATTCAGTTGCTCCATGAATGCGATGACCGAGCCTGGGATCACTGAGGATCAATCCCTTTATTTCCTTTCTCTCTCCATCGGTCTCCGTTGCAATGAGAGAGAAACTTTGTCAGAGTCGCAGCATCGGGTTAACTGGAAATGCTTAGGATCGTTGTGTGGTGTTATTTCCTTAAAGGGACAGAAGGCCATGTCTAGGAGCTGTGCGAGCGTCAGTGCTGGGAAGGGCAATTGCAGTTGCATTTGCTGGGGATCCATGCAGCAAACTGAGGGGTTCCATCTGCAATTCAGAGCTGCAGGATTTGGGTCCTTCCATGTGGCAAGGGTGACAAGAAGAGCTGGACTCGAGAGTCCTGGTCTGCAATTTGAGAGTGGTACCTCCGGCCACCGCAGAATGGAGGCGGCTTCTGGCCGTGACTGGAGGAGAAGCTGGTAGTCCTTAGGCTTGGCACTGCAGACCTCAGGAAGGTCACCCATTGTCTGCAGTCGAGGTCATGAGACCAAAGGCCACAGCCCCGCCTGTTTTGTGTTGTTTAATGTATTTGGATTTAATCGATGTGCGAATAATAATTTGGTTGGAAAGAGAGATGGTCATTGGCGGACTCTCCACTTCCCTGCGCAGATATCTAGATTCTCCATTTCTGGAGCTGAGATGGCTGAAGAAAAGCACAAAGGCAGCAGAGGCCCTGGGTCATTAACAGGAGGCACCACGATGTCAGAGTCAGGCTCAGTTTGGGGCTTCGCTTTTTAACGTCATCCTCTAACCAGCATCCGCTCTAGAAAGCATCAGGGCTCCCGTGTACACACTCACACGTACCGTAGGCAGGTGATGTGCCTGTTTCTATTGGTTTTGTCAAAAGGAACTTGTTGCCATGAGGGAAGGAGTAGAAACAGTCGATGAAATGGTAAAAAGAAAGCTGTCAATGGTTATCTTTGGCTCTCGATTAAAATAGATACGAGACAAACATAAGCTGCCTAGTAATGGTAGCTTCCTAACCCCAGGAAAGCAATTCTGGAAGCAAGCCCGGCCGCTGAGGAGGATGCTGCAATTAGACAGACAGATGGCTCAACTGTGTCCTCTGACTTCAAAGTCGTTATATTTCGTTAATTTGGATCATTTTTAAAAATGCCGTCTTTTGATTATAAAACACCAGTATATGTTTGTTGTATAAAATACGGAAAATACCAAACAGCATAAAGAAGGAAATGAAAAAATACCCCTCTCTCCCCACTCGAAGAGCAGAGCTGGTGACCTTTCTTTGCTGGTCTTTGAAGTATGACAGTCTCTCAAAGTGCGATGCAAAGGGCTCGCTCCCCACCATCCTCCGATGTTCTGTGCTTTCATTTAGGAGGTGAAAAGAGATTTATGGCAGTTTAAGGAGCTTTTAAAGAAGTAGCCAGGAGTCTATTTCTTCAATTTTTCAATGTTCAAAAACAAGTCGAGTGCAGTGTATTTAAACATATGCACGTACATATAATGGCGTGTCTCTGGAACACTTAGTAACCTGGTATGTGCTCTAACTTAGAGTGTTTATTTCTTGGCACCATGGTCCCTGGCCTCCCGTGCTGTCTCCTCCTGACCCGGTGTGTCTCTTATTTGTAGCAGTGACTCTTCGAGAAGACAGTGCCAAGAAGCTGGAGAGGAGAGCGCGCCGTGTCTCTAAATGCCTGTCGGATTATTCGCTGGCGAGCGATAGCGGGGTGTTTGAACCTTCAACCAAAAGGTTAGAAGCTGGTCTTGTTATCTCCTCCCTAAGCGACCTTCCCACAGTGTTACTGGGAAGGCCAAAGGGGCCTGAACCCAGGCGTCTATGTGCTGAAACTTGGCACGTACCCAGGGGTAGGACCTTTTCCGCCTTTTCCACTTTGGAGGTTGGGCCTTAGCGAGCTGCAGAGAAAACTCCTGTGGCGTCTGTGTGGCATTCGGAGGCTGGCCCTCACTCCGTGCTTCTAGAACCATGTCTCTCTTTGGCCCTGCTGGCTTTAAGGTTTAATCCCAGTAGAGCTGGGAAGGGAGAATCCATGTACAAAGAGAGAGACCTGCTTTTCTAGGAAGGACATTCATTAGAAAGGAATTTTCTCCCTTTCTCCCTCCTTCCCTCCCTCCCTCCCGCCCCTAGCTAGAGGAATAGCTTTGCAATGACAAAGCACCTTTTGGGATTCGGGGTGTTCTTTTCATTTGATATCTTCGATGTCCTTGTTTTTTTATCGCTTATCACAAACTGTCTAAAAGTTCATTTTTGCGCTTTGCCCTGGATCTCGTACGTGGTTGGGAAAGGTATGCAAAATCATTGTCTAAAAACGTAGCAGTTTATAAGGCAGGTACCCAATGACATGTGTCGTGGACCCGGGAACCTGCTGTGCCCCTTTAGTCACGTAAAGAATTTATTTACTTATGTCGCCATTTAATAAAGCCCCTCTCAGTACGAAGCACCCCTGAGATGAGGGAGCTTGTACAAAACCCCCAGGCGCCAGTTGCCTGTGGAGTCACCGTGGCGACTTTCTGGTTGTGCCCAGGACTGAAGATGCTGACGAGGCTGCACATGGAGACACTTGTGCTGTGGAAGGGCCCCAGATCCACGTCGGGTTTTGGTGAGTACGGAAGACTCCTTGGGGCCCACCTGGCAACTCACACCTCCACACACAGGCCAGGAGGGATGGAGGGGCCCACGTGACCTGGGGGCTGCTTCTCGGCTTGGCTACCGAGAGCCCGCTACAGTGGTCTCAGCTAGGGGACAGAGATGGCGGGAAGGAGGGATAGGGAAGAGCAGCTTTATCGCTGTCCTCCGACACTGAGAGTCACCGCTGGGAACTGTCACGTCATGGAGCGGGGGTTCAGGGCTGTCGTCGTGCAGTTGTGCCGAAAGCCCCCGGCGAGGTGGGACTCTTGGGGGGAGTCATCGCATATTTCTGCACGGAGTTGGCTCCGTTCACGGCAGTGTGGATGGCAGGCCCTTCCCTGCTCCCCGGCGTGAGTGACCAGCTGGTTGGCAACGCAGAGCGTTTTGCTTTCTAGTTACAGTCTCAATAATGGCGGTGACCAGTAGTGTTCAGACTAGCAAGGCAGGACGTTCACGTCCCAGTGGTTTTCTTTTGCTCGCTCTTGTCATTCCAGTCGAGTGTTTCTCAATGTTGCACTAGTGACACGTGGACCAGATCACTCTTTGTTCCGGGGGCTGTGCTGGGCCCCGTAGGATGTCGAGCAGCATCCTTGCCCACTAGATGCCAGTAGCATCCCCCTTCTACCCAGTCACGACAGCAGAAAACGTCTCCAGACATGCACACGCCTCCGGGGGGTGGGGGGTGGCAGAATCCCCCTCAGCCCAGGGCCGCCGCTGTGGTCGAATCAGGACTTTTCCACTGTGGAGACCGTGCAGTTTATGGATCCACATTTTACTTTCCAGGCATGACAGTACCAGCGAATGTCTCCTCGTGAATGTGCTCCAACTGAAGAACTTGGCCGGGATGATCGTGAAGGAAGACTGTAAAATGTAAGCTCTTGAGCAGGAGGGGGTCTTTCGGAGACCTGGGGCGTCTCCCAGGCTGCCTGCACACAGCACCGCTCGCCAGCCTGCTCCGCTTGGCCCTTTGGGTTGCAGAAAAGACTGTTTTCGAATCCGAGTTTACAATAAAACCAGGGACTATCGGTCTGAAATAGACAGGACTGTGTGTTTTAAAAAGCATCTGCTGTATTATCTGAGGCAGACGCGGTTAGTTAATGGGGCCAGGCTAGTTACGTGCTGTAGCGATGCCATGAAAGTGCCAGGTGCCTGTCATCTGCTGAATTTGGGCTTAAAATGTCCACCCCGGTCACAGGGTTGGGTGGTGACAAAGTGGCACTTAGCTCTGTGATCCAAAGAGGTGCCTAAAGAGGCGTACGGCTGAGACCAGGGGTCGTTGTCTAAGGGGAGGAGAAGGAAATATAAGTTGTCACCAGCTGGGAAGTGCTACCTCTGTGGGCTCCACAGCCTGAGGTTGGTGCCCAGCAGATGGCCCCAGTACCCAGGTGGTGAGCACACCTGTAACGGGGCGTTCAAGCCCGAGGGCACAGTCCCTTTCATGCGTCTTCTTCATAAACTGGTCTTCTGAAAGCCTTGGAAGCAGCCTGGGTTGAAGTGGCTGAGGGCTTCCCCTGAGATTCTGTCCACCCCATGATGGACTTTGCACGTTCCCCAGTGTTTCAGCCACCATGCTGGGGCCGACAGGGCAGGACACCCAGCCCGAGAGGTGAGGCGGAGCTTGAAGAGGGAGCCAAGGGGCTTTGGAGAGATCAGTGCAGATGTCTTCCCAAAAGATGGGACAGCAGAACCTCTGTTTGGCCCCTCTCAAGTCCTGGGACTGCCTTTGAACTTTTCTTTGTGGGTGGGGTTTCCCCTAACCCCCAGGGGCACGTAAGTGCCTTAGTCTTACTCTTAGTTGAGAAAGGGACTTTCTCCTGCAGACTTTGCAGTGCGCCCATCATCCCAAGAAGGGAACACACGCGTGTATCTGTCCGCGTGTTCGTGCGTGTCATCATGCAGACCGTTCAGTTGCCTCCCTCTGTCTGCTTCTCCCTCCTCTCTCTGCTTCCAGACACATCCGAGTGTATTTGCCGCCGCTGGACTCCAGCACACCAGACACTTACTGCTCCAAGGCTGTGGAATTCCAGGCCCCCCTGGTATTTAATGACGTTTTCAGAATCCCTGTGCATTCAAGCATGTTGACATTGAAGTCCCTTCAGTTATATGTGTGTTCAGTGAACCCGCAGCTGCAGGAAGAACTGCTGGTATGGCCTGTGCACGCTCGAGACGTCTCCCCCGTCCGTCC